CGTCGATTTTTTTTTTTTTTTTTTTGTCTTTTAAAGCTTTGGCTCACAGAGTCCTTCAGGTCAAAGTGATGTTCTTTGGAAAGTGGAAGCCCCTGGACCATTGGGTGGATTGTCCTCTTCCCTTAGTCCTGGGAGACCAAGTGTGTGGCAGAGCCTGGCCCCTTGCTGGACTTCTCTCCCTCACACAGTGGGGTCCCAGATTAGGCTTGTCCTCTTTGTACCAGGGGGTGGTAGCAGGTTAAAGATGAGCAGTGGGGGTGGGAAGTGGAGAGGGGCTTCATGCCAGCCAATCGGGAAGCGACCGCCTAGGCTCTGAGCAAGGCATCATCTGCTCCTGCTAAGACAATCATCAACATAAAAGGCTAATTGTATTAATCACCAAGGCACCCGTCCCGAATCCCCCTCCCTTTCGGGAGAATTATGAATTGCAATTGCAGATGGCTCCACTGATTGAAGGCAGTGCTCAGCAGGGAGAAGGGTCAGATCAGATTACACACCATTAATTAAAAACTTCCCCTGATGAACGGGAGGAGGGGAGTGCACACCAAGGGCTTGCCTGGCTGGGTCTCTGTCCTCCACATGGCCCCTACCCCCACCCAGACCCCCTGGGGCTGTGACAATGAAGCCTGCTGCCCCCAACTGGGACCACTGAGATTCAGCTCCCCAAAGCTCCCCAGTCCTTTCCTCATCCAAACAGATGGCCCGCTGTCCTATTAAAGGGCTGCTGAGGAGGAGAAGCTGACCTCTGGTTACTTCCTTCCATGACTAACCTTCGATGCTTTTCAGAATCTAACCTAATTCCTCCCTTCGCAGGAAGCTTATTTTGTCTCACTCTTGTCTATCCTGACAGAACAGCTTTAAAGCATTGTTAGTGAGAGCGGGCCCCCAGCTTTCTCCTCAGACAATCACCCTTACCCTTTAGCCCCATAAGTTCCCGGGGCAGACATGAGACCTGCTCTGGAGTAGCGGACAGAGGCTCTCTGACCAGACTTTGCCCCCTCTTCCCAGTCCCTGCCTGGAAGCACAGACTTCTCCGCGGCTGTCACTGCGGGGCATTTGGAGCTGTAACTCCTCGTGATCTATTACTGCCTGCCCTCCCTCCCTAGCTGGCCAGCCTCAGTCATTCATTCATCAAACTTTTATTGAGCACCCAGTGTGTGCTTGGCTCTGGGGACGCAGGGGTAATTTGTCAAGGAGCTTGGCCCACCCCCTTCAACCCTCTAGTTCCTGCTTCCTTCCCATGGCTGCAGCTTGCCTGAGCCCCTCCGGAACTGTATTTTGGAAAACTCTGAACTGGGAACTGGGGAGACCTTCAGTGTCCATGGTCCTGAGCTGGGCGACCTTTCACAAGTCAGTCATATCCTCTGTACCCACGATGTCACACATGCACGCACACATACACACACATGCGCACCAGCTGTCCTTGCTCATAAAAGGGCACAGGCAGCCCTGGGCTCTGAGAGATTGTGAAGATGGATGATGGGACCTAGCTTGAGAGATGTGAGTGGTATCTGCGCTGATGTCACGGAACGCAGTGCACAGCTGCTGGGGCCAAGAGCACCAAGGACTCGGCTATTGCACTGGTCACAGGCAGGGCCTATTACTGTGTCCTTGGAAGGCTCTGGCAGCCCTTCCTCCTCCCCAGCCCCTTGGGAGACATTAAAAGGACCTATCTTTCAGGTGGATTGCTATGGTGATGGGCACCATAGAGATTAGAAGAGCTGACTTTTGTTGGCTTGTCTCTTCATTCTAGGGTCCCTCCCCTAGCCCCCACACCCACAAAGCCCCAGGTCATCAGACCCAGGAGAGGAGGCAGGGCCCCTGGTAAGTAGACCCAATGAAATGAGAGGACAACCTCTGTCTTTGCTTCCTCCAGTCATCTTCCTTTCTCCCTTCTCCCCTCCACCCTCCCATCACCAACAGCAGTTGTATTCAAACCCAGTAATTACTGTAACAACAAACACCATCATTTATTGGGGTTTTCTAACATTTTAACTTCCAAAAGCATTTTCTAATTTCTTATTTTCACAGCAGTCCCTGGGGGAGGATTGTGTCCATTTTACAGCTGGGGAAGGTGAGATCCAGATAGGACCCCAAGTCAAAGACAGAGCAGATTTACAGCCATCTTTAAATAGTAACGCCAATTCAGACTTTGGCAGTTCTTTAGAGGCACTGGACCTCACATCTTGATTCCCTGGGTCATTCCTGGGTTCCTGCCATGCTGAGGACTTATTCAACAGTTTCTCGAGGATCCTGGTAATGCTGAGAAAGAGACTGGTGATGGCTGCTTTGGCCCAGGTCATGTGTTGAGGGCTGGGGTGCACACGTACCTTCAGGCTTGTTCCTGTGAATGGGGCTGTCGCGTGAATGGCTGGCGGCACCCAGTGAGAGCTTGCCCTGGGAAAGGCCTGTCTGTCTCAAACCTTCCCTCCCATACCCTGCCGCCCCTCTGCCAGTCTGAGGAAAGATAACCTCTGTGTCAGGTTTCCGTGGAATGAGGGCCTCCCCTGAGCATTTGGAGGAGTGAGGAATAAAGATCTATTGGAAGGCAACCTCTGTGCTCAGGTAGCCCCCAGTCTGAGGGGGCAGCTGTAGCTCCCAAATCATATCCAAGAGCAGAAAAATCCCTCTAAGGAGCTCAGAGGCTGTCCCAGCGCCCTGTTCTTGAGGGAAGCCCGTCCCTCCTTCCCCAGGGTTTCCTGGGTGGGTGAGAAGTTGGGGCTCGCTGAAGTCCCTATAGCCTTGAGTGTCTAGCAGAATGGTTTTCTGGGCTCCAGTTCCCCTTTTCCCTAAGACACGGGGATATGGAAGCTCAGGACTCCCACTGGGGTCCAGCTTGGTGAGCGAGGGGGCATGTGAGCCTTCCTGTGCTCTGTCCTGTCAAGAGACAGAGGCTTAGCCAGGCATGGTGGTGTGTGCCTGTAGCTGCAGCTACTTGGAAGACTGAGGCAGAAAGATTGCCTGAGCTTAGCAGGTTGAGGCTGCGGTGGTTGTGAACGTGCCACTGTGCTCCAGCCTGGGTGACAGAGTGAGACTCCAACTCAAAAAATAAAAGAGAGGCCCAGGAAGGCCTAGGGGGAGGGAATGGAATGGCTCTGCTCTCAGATTCTCTTTGTCAGGGACAGGGATTGGGACCCCCAAACCATACTGTCAGGACAAGTGGTCAAGGCCCCACCCCCCACTTCACCCCAGGAAACCTCAAGTCAGGCCACACAAGGCGTTGCCCACCTGCAGGGCTCCTTTCTGGAACCTGAGGGCGGGGCCAGGGTCTAGGCCATTTCACACCCACTCTCCATTTCGATGTCAGGTGAACTGGACTGGGATTCCTTCTGGGGCTCCCCTCCTACCACCGTCTCCACCTCTGTGGTGCCTGTGAGGATAGCCAGTCGCTGGGCCAGGGTCTTGGTGTCCGGGAACAGGACGAAATTGTAGATCAGTGAAGCCAGGATGGCTCCTGTCAGGGGTCCCACCCAGAAGACCTGAGGGGAAGGGAGGAGGCACCCCATGAGCTGTCAGGACCCCTTTGGGACTTGGGCCTGCTTTCCCAGTGCTCGTGTGCTCTCCCAAGTCTCCCCAACTGTTTACAAGGGGGTAAATTTGAGCACACGAGTCCTGCCACTGAGCCCACACAGGAAGAGGACCTTGCCTTCCACGGAGCCGGGCCCAGCCTGGCGGTCATGGCTGGGGGCCAGGGCCCGGCTTCTCACCCACTCCTGCCTCTTTCCTCTCGCCTCCCTGTTTTAGCTGTGAGTCCTGGCTATTGCTGTTTCTGTCTCTGCTGGTGTGTGTGTCTATTTCTGTTTGTCTTTTTCTTTATCCAAGTTTCAAAATTGGTCCAGCTGGAGAAAGTGAATAAGGAAACAGCCAGGACTTAAAGCCTGGGCCGAGGCTGCAGCTCCTGCCCTGGCCCATTTCTTGCCAGTCCACTGAGTGCTTCAGGATCCTGACACTGAAAAGAAGCAAGCCAAGCCAGGACACTCGCCTGGCCTTGAGCTCAGGGAAGCCTCCACTCCAGGGTAAAAATATTCTGGGAGAACTGGTCTCCCCAGGTCTCTGTGAATCTGCTGCTGGTGAAGTCCACTTCATTGTCCCTACTCGGGTCCTCTCCCTCCCTATGGCTGCTGGTAGAGAGTCTCACCCAGTGGACTGTGAACTTTCCAATGACCACGGCAGGACCGAAGGAGCGGGCTGGGTTCATGGAGCAGCCGGTGAAGTAGATCTGGGGACCAAGTGCAGGGTCCGGGTGAGAGGATGCTTAAGGCAGGCCTGGGAGGGGACAGTCCCCTCTGCCCTGGCTCAGAGCCCTGGCCCCAGCCTCGGCCTCTGTGGGGCTGGGCCTAGAGTGCAGGGGCACCACTTTGACCCCAAAGCATGAGGGGCCCAGGAAGGGATACTTTCTGGCCTTCCGGACCCCACAGCTTCCCCAGGGTGGGACCCATGTATGCATAGGCATGGGAGCCCCTTTGCCTCTTACCCCAATGAGGTGGCCCAGTGCCACAGAGGCCCCAATCAGGATGGCTGGGGAGCCCAATATCTGGCGGCTGTCGGTGGAAGCAAAGACACAGAGTACCATCTGCAGAGTCAGAACCAGCTCCACTGCCACCGCCTGGCCAATGGAGACGCTGTTGCGGACCTGGGCAGAGGGGGGTACACTGCAGCAGATGGAGGCTCTGCCTATGGATGGCGACCAGCCCCCCTAGTCCCAGGCCTGGTCTCAGCGCTAGGATGCAGGGAGATCCATGCAGAAGGTCCGTGTCAGCCCTGGACGCTTACTCCCTGCAGAAGTGAGTGGCACCACTCCACCCTACCAACTGCTTCAGGAGGGGGAGGCAGGAGCTTAGGGCTGGGGGAAGGTTCCAGAAGCTGAGGATCTTGCTTGAGAGGTGGGAGTGGAAGGGAGAGATCAGGGGAAGCAGGTAGAACATAGATGATTAGGGGAATGGGGTGGGAGAGTGAGGCTGGCCTCAAGGGGCAGGGCAGGGAGGAATCTGGGAGTCTTGGGGCTAGCCCTCCACCCTGACCACCTGTGTGCACTCCCTCCTCCCTGCACCTACCACGTTGACCCCAAGGGTCTCTCGGATGTCTCCTGGCATGACCCCATAGAGCAGAGCAGCCCCCACGGTGGCCCCCGCCAGCTGGGCAGCCACATAGGCCACAGCGCGGGGCAGAGAGATGTGGGAGCCCACGAGGAAGGCCAGCGTCACGGCAGGGTTGGCATGGGCCCCACTGGCCTTCCAGGTGACCTGCACAGCCGTGGCTGTGGCCAGGTTGCAGGTGATGGCGATCTGCAGCACAGAGGGAAGGGCCGAGGGCCAGCGCATGGCCGAGCCCACGACAAAGAACACATATAGCCCGGTGGCCAGGAACTCTGCAAACAGTGCCCTGCTGATGGCTGTCCACAGCCTGTAGGCCAGTGCCCTCACCCAGCCATACCCCTCTGACCCTGTTGCATCCATGTCCCGATGCCTTTTGCCTTGGCTGTCACCTCCTTTGTCCAGGGACCTCTCCTCTGTTCCTCTGGACTCTTGTCTCTGGCTGACTCTGGCCTTCACTCTGTGGAGGCCTCTCTGGCCCCCACCTGCAGCCTTTCCACCACGCTGCTGTCCCAGGAATGTGCTGGCCAGACTGGCAGGGAGTGGGCGGGTTATGTTGCCTGGATGGGTGGGAGGTGCGGGGTGGCATGAGGGGTGGTGTTCACATGCCTATTCCAGCATGAGCTCACCTGACGGGGTCGGGGGGGGGGGGCTGTCTCGGGGCGCTGAGCTGGAACCTCCCAGGAGGTTTTCCAGGGCTAGATGGGCCCAATGCATGCCGCAGGCAGAGGTCTAGCCAGAGGGTAGCAGGTGCAGGCGCAGCAGTGGTCATGGGATTTCAGAGCACCCATGTCCTGATGCCAACTTAACTAGAACAAGACCACCCAGATGCCCAGTCCAAGCCTGGCTTCAGGGGGTTCTGTGCATTTCTAAGGGCCCCTGTTCTCCTGCCCCCCACCCAGGTCTCCAGGAGAGCTGCCCTGTGCTGCGCCCCATAAACCCGGATGTCAAATTTGGTTCTCCCACCGAAAGTCCCGCTCAGAATGCTGGTGTAAGGAGGGTCAACTCTACCACGGACACGGGGCCGTGGGGGTGCAGAGTGAGGGAACAGAGAAGGGGTTTGTTCCACCACTAATCAAATGCATCACGGCAGTGGTCATCTCTGCAATTCCCCAGTGGGAATTTCCACTGGACCTTCTCTCCCTCCTTGACCCCTCCCTGTCTGCCCTCCTCCCTCTCAAGGGCCAAACAGATTCCTCCGTTTCTCGCACTTGGCAGTTTCACCATTTTTGTGGCCCCACGGCCACTCATGCCCTGGGCTTCCCCCTTTTACTTCCAGCAGCACATCAAGGTATTTTCTCGAACAGAGGTGCTCCCTCTGAGAAGACGCCGCCAAGCTGTTGAAATAATACAGTCTTCCCCTCTTAACCACACAAAGTGCCCTGACCTCGCCCCGGGCACATCTACTGCCCACAGATGTCCCCTGGCTGCTTCCAGGCTCCTCAAGTGCAATTTGTCTCAAAACGCAGCCCTCATCTCTCGCCCCCCACCACTGTTCTCCGCTTGTTTTCTCCGACACACCCGGGGGCATCTGGGAAGCACCCTTGACCCTTCTCTCCCTCCTTCTCCCATGCAATAAAAGCATCAGGCCCTGCTGATCGGAATCCCAAATGTCTCCTGCCTGTGCCCCTCCTGGCTGCCCCTGCCCCTTGCAGCCTTTAACCGGCTCTGTCTGCTCCTTGCTCTGCTCCAATCAATTCTCCACCCCTCCGAGGGCTAACATGCAAATCTGAAGGGGCTGCCGCCCTGCTGAAACCCCTTCCAAGCCTCCTCCCTCCCTCTGGAGGCCCCGCCCCTGCCTCGCCTCTCCCCGCCCTCGCCTCGTCCTTTCCCCTCTGACCTTTCTAAGCGAACACCCCTGCCTCTCCCCTCCTTGGAGAGCCCTTGCCACTTGCTTTGTGGGGAACACCCAACCCGGCCCTGAGGCTCAGCTGTGATGTCACTGACTGGGTGAGGGCCCCCTGTGCTGCCCACACACCTGGGCGTTTTCGTACACTACAGTCATCACCGGGAGGTGTCATGGTGTTGGTGTGTCTCCAGTGAGGCAAGGCGATGAGTCCTGAGGGGCAGGAACCAATTCTGTTCGTCCTGACATGTGGGATCATGCACAAAGACCGGCAGAGTAAATGCTCAAAAAATATTTTTCGAATGAATGAATAATAACTTGGCCTCCTGGGGCAGCTGACCATCCTGCCCCATCTCAGCCTGTACCTGGGACTGAGCCCTCTGACACCTTCGAGTGAAACATCCCAGCTCCACCACAGGCTCTGTTCATTCCTGCCCCCTGTCCCAGTAAAATCCGTCACCCATCCCTTTCTGTTCTTTCTGCCCTCCTGGCTTCTCCCTGCCCTCTCCAGGAGTCTTCTGGGCACCCTGAGTGCACCTGACCTGCCAATGCCCTGCTGTTCCAATGCCCTGTCCTCTCCACCCCACCGCCTCCCCCGCTTTCTCATTCTCCTCCATTCCTTTCTGCCCCATCTGCGCTGCTGAGCACTGCTAGGGGAGCTCGCCCAGCCGTGCAGACTGTGGCCTTGACAAGCCATGGTCTCTGGCCTCTGCAGGGGTCGCAGCTCTGCTCAGCAATGCATTCACAGCTCTCCCTTCATTCTTTTTTTCTGAGTCGGAGTCTCACTCTGTAGCCCAGGCTGGAGTGCAGTGGCACCATCACGGTTCACCACAGCTTTGACCTCCTGAGCTCAGGCAAGCCTTCCACCTCAGCCTCCGTAGTAGCTGGGACTAAAGCTATGCACCACTACCACCAGCTAATTTTTTTACTTTCTGTAGAGACAAAGTCTTTATGTTGCCCACACTGGTCTTGAACTCCCAGGCCCAAGCAATCCTCCCGCCTTGACCTCCCAAAGTGCTGAGATTACAGACATGAGCCACTGCACCTAGCAACCCATTTTTTAAACCTTCCCCACTCTCTCTCAGCTGACTTTCTCTCAGCTGCCCGTGCCTCCTGTCTCACCTAGAAAGCCCAGCTACCAGGCCGGACCTCCCATCCTTCCTCCCCAGCTACAGCCTCACCTGCAGCTGTCCCCACACCCTAGCCAGTTCTTTGAAGGAGCAGCAGCCCTTCTCTGGTGTGCAAGACAGGCAGTGGCACAGGTGTCTCCTTGTGCCCTTGGCTGAGTGACTGGGTCCCCTCTCGACCATTCCCAGTCTCATCTTGGCTTTCACGTCTCCCGCTCTGCCCACCCCTCCCACCTTCCTCCCTAGAAACACACCTGGGTGCCCACAGGGCAGCGGAAGGCCATGGCCTGGAGTCAAGTTTCCTGTTCCCGCCACTGCACTAGAGCCCCCGGCCCCTTGCCTCCAAAGCTGCTCTGGCAAAGCGCCCCATGACCCCTCTACCTCTCTGCCCAGCCCACTGTGGCACCTGCGCCGCTGGCCACTCCCTGCCCTAAGCCTGTTTTCCCGGCTTGGGAGGTGTGGTCACCTCCTGGTCCCCCCACCTCTCGGAGGGCATCCCTTGGCTCCATTGCTGGCTCCTCTTCTGCTGACCCTAAAGCCTAGGCCTTGTCTGCTCCTGGCCCACCGCTCTATTCACTCCAGAGGAGACGGTGCCCAGGCAGCCTTGGTCGTGCCTGCAGCCTCCGTGGCCTCCATGGATGGTGGACTCAACGCTGCCTCCAGCCCAGATCTCTCTCCTGAACCACAGACCCATTTGGCCTCCCACTGGCCCTCAGCATGCTCTCTGTCCTCCCCGACCCATCCTCAAGTGCTCCACCACTCACTTGATCAGTTGCCCAGGACAGAAGCTAGTGATCATCCTGGTATCTCCCGTCCCTCAGCCCACAGGTGACCGGGTTCCTAGTGGCTCCTTCTCACACCTGACACCTCTTGCCAACCCCACCTGCCACCGACTCAGGTCAGTTCTGATCCTCTCTTCCAGGATGACTGCACTAATCTCCTTCTTGGGCTCTCAGACTACACACCATCCGTGCCCTTCCATGCCACTCTCCACTGCCAGAGACCCTTCCAAAATGCAAACCTGATCACATTCTCCTCTGCTCAAAAACCTTCAATGGCTCCCCACTGCTTCAGGATCAGTCATGAATATCCATGTCTAACATGCAAGGAAGGCTCTCTCCCACTGCCCACCCCGGCTCCTTTACTCCAGCCAGGCCGGACATTTATAGTTCTGTAGAAGGCACTTCTGAGCCCCACTGCCTCTCCTCCTTGTCTCTCTTTCAAGATGTCACTAAAGTGCAGCTCCTCTATGAATCCTGCCTGATCTCCCTCCCCGGCAGAATCAGGGCAAGCTTCAGAGCAAAGCTAGGGACTAGCTGTGGCCTCTGCCTCCTCAATACCTCCACTGTTCCAGTGCAGGCTTCCATCCCTGCCGGGCATAGAGGGGTCATTCAATAAATGCCCAGGGGATGACAGAGCATGACTGTGGGGGCAGCGTGGGCGCTGTTCCTTCCTAGCACGGTGGGACCCCTGCCTGGGGACTGTCCCAGGGCACCTCTCTCCTTTCCTCCCTTCAGACAAGGGCTTGCAGAAGGCTTGGTGAACAGACACATACCATTCCCTGCATTTGCCCTAGCCTCAGTTTCTGCACTTGTAAAACTGACACCAAATGGCAGTAATGCTTATCTGTTGAGAGCTTTTGCTAAGACAAATGAATACAGTTTGAATACTGCTGTGTATGCTGCACCCCTAACTGGTTGCTTAACTCCTGTGATCCCAGTCTTCCCTATTTTATTATTTTATTTTATTTATTTATTTATTTATTTTTTGGGTTGGAGTCTCACTCTGTCGCCCAGACTGGAGTGCAGTGGCCGCTCCCGGCCACCGCAGCCTTGACCTGCTGGGCTCCAGCGAGCCTTCCACCTCAGCCTTCCGAGTAGCCGGAATTACAGGTGCGCGCTACCATGCTCGGCTGATTTTTTATTTATTGTAGAAATGAGGTCTCGCCAAGTTGCCCAGGCGGATCTCGAACCCGCAGGCTCAGGCAATCCACTCACCTCAGCCTTCCAAAGCGTGGGATTACAGACTGAGCCACCGAGCCCGGCTATTATTTTATTTTCTGAGTTGGAGTCTCACTCTGTCACCCAGGCAGGAGTGCAGTGGCATGCTCACAGCCACCACAGCCCTCGACCTGCTGGGCTCAGGTGATCTTTCCACCTCAGTCTCCTGAATAACTGGGACTACAGGGGCGCGTGCCACCCAGCTTGGCTAATTTTTTTTACTTTTTGTAGAGACAAGGTCTTGCTATGTTGCCCAGGCTGGTCTTGAACTGCTGAGCTCAAGCAATCCTCCTACCTCAGCCTCCGAAAATGTGGGATTACAGGAATGAGCTATGTGCCCAACCTAGTCTTTTACAAATGGGGATGATAGTTCTTACTTCCCTGCATGTTGTTAGGGGTAAATGTGAGGAGAGTGCCTTCCAGTCGGAAGACATCGGTTTATTGGATTGCAACTCCCCTCTCCAGTGAGCCGGCTATGGGGACAAGCACTGAGCCCTTGTGCTGGGCCCTGGGGCCTGAGCACAGGAAGCACAGTGGCAGCTCTGTCCCCAGCTAGCCTGAAGCAAGGCCTCCTCGAGCTCTGCTTGCCCTGGGACAAGGTCCCCTCAACTCCATTGCTGGTTCCGGTCAAACTACAGCCTCACCTGTAGCTGGCCCCACACCCTAGCCAGTTCCTTGAAGGAGCTGACCCTGAAGTCCAGGTGGACCAGGCAGGGCTTGCTCCAGCCCTGGCTCTGCCTGCCCCAACCAGTATCCTCCTGGCCCAGTTTGTTCTGGGTTCTAGTCTTCATGCTCAGAGGCCTTTTGCCAAGGACCCGCACCTGGCTGCCTTGAGCAGTGACTGAGGTCCCATCAGAACTTGGGGAAGGGGGGAAAGGGGGAGGGAAAGGAGGAAGGTACTGCAAGAGACAGAGGGAGAGTAAAAGCATGACGGAAAGGGAAAGACTCAAGGTGGCTTCCTGGGCCTCATCTCACCGACACCCACCAGTTGTGGGAAGGTCCAGAGATCTGACATGCTCGCCACATATGACGGAGGAGGAAGCTGAGGCTGGGGCATGAGATCCTCCCAGCAATCCCGCCTCCTGTCTACCCCTCTGAACAGCCAACCCCCTGCACGACTCCCCTCTACTTTTTTTTTTTTGAGTTGG